CTTGTTGATAGATTGATTCATTTTGTCTTGACTCTTCCAATTTCAACAGCAACTATAGAATGTGCATTTTCAACTATGAGTGTCATTAAGACAAGATTTTGTAATAGAATGGAAGATGAAACCCTAGCTACGTCCCTCCACCCCCCACATGCCTCATATTTGTTTTTATTTTTATTTTTGTGTGTTGTCATTTTTTTTGAGTTTCGTTCATTCTGTTTTAAAATTAAACAAAAAATAATAATAATAATAAAAAACAAAATGAAAACATGAAATATACACATGTGGAAGTTATTTTTACAGCTTAACACATGATATACTTGAATTTGTTTGTTGTGATTAAGCATGTTCTTAATCAATAGGTTGGAACATAATTTCCATTATTGGCTTAGGTTATTCATGGAATACTTAGCATATGGGTTTTCATATACCTTCTGCACTGCACACATTATGATATTGTTAGTAGGAAGGACTTTACCGTGAGTGTGAGATTTGTGATGGCAATCATATGTTAGTAAGGTGACTTTGAACATGAATTGACCGTATATATTAGACCTAAGCTCGAGTTTATCCCTAGTATTGAAAAAAAAAGAGCTCACTATCTTATATTTTTCATCGGAGCCTATTTGACTCGAGTAATTAAACCTGTAGGGTTTCTTATAACCTAGTGCCTATGGTCAACTGACTTGGGGTTAACAGGCCTAAAGCTCGCTACATGGGTCATTTTAGTTGTTTAATGAAGAAAAGCCTGCATTTAGGATAAAAATAATAATAATGAGCTTCGTTTATTGAATGATATGAAATAAAATAGTTTGCTCATACTCAGGGGGAGAAAAAATACTTTAATTCATAATAAGATTTTCGTTATAGGTTCTAATGTACTTTACATGGTTTGACTTTCATAAGTAGGGGAATAAACTTATTGGCAATGATGTTTAGCATGTCATTTCTCACAGATTTGAGGTCTGGAGTCCTATTTTCAAAAGATTAGTGACACTTTACACATATGGTCAGTTATACAATTTATTTTATGATAACTTGAACTAAATACGTGTGAAGATTTAATGTCCATTGCTTATCACTGTGCATGTTCACAACAGTATTTTTGAGTTATCCTGTGTTAATGCTAAAATATAAAAAAGGGGGTGCAAAGAATTTTTGTGATATTTTTTGATTATACGCCATCCCTTGTCATTTTGTGACAAAAAGGGGAGTAGTATGATGATATATTTGACTTGACTTGATGTATCTACAAATTTGATTAAATGATAATTTTGATGTTGCTAGATTAAGTTTTTGATGTTTTGTAGTATCAATGTTTCGTTTTGGTATGTTGGGTTCCATTGATATTACGTCTTAATTTAGCTTATGATATGAAATTGAAAAGATGCAGTATGAAATTTAACTGCTTGAATTGCTTGTAACTGTTTCACATACATTTTACACTGGTATTTGAGTTGGTCTATTTCAGGAAATAGGCTTTGACAAATGAAAAGCAGAATTCGATCAAAATAATTATTGGTTGTGTCAGTTATTGAGTCTGTAATTCTTTTTCAATACTATCTTGACTTTATATTGTAGTTTTGTCAAATGCCAAAGGTGGAGCTTGTTAGGTAGTTGATGTAATTATCAAGTCTGTAAACAAAATGGACTAAATTTAATATGTTGTAAAAGTCAAGGAGTAATGTGCAAATAATAGAAATTGAGCTATATTAGGTCTAGGGTTCGAGAACGGAAAATAAGGAAAAATGGCGTTGAAATTTCGCTAGACTGTCGCTAAGATTTTGCTCGAACGTCAAAAATAGAATCAATGTCACTCGCGTGTGACCCGGACTTCGCTCGAGCGACACACTATTGCTCGCTTGCCGCCCAACTCTCGCTCGAGCGACAGAGTTTCCTGCCCATTCATTTCTTAACCTACACATAAATATCAGAACGCCTTAAAACGATCTTAACAAGGTTGAACATTAAGAAAACATATTCTTTCCATATCATCTTCAAATTAGCTTTCAACATTCGTTCTATGATTGGTTATTGACGGTGAAAACATCAAATTCACAATCCAAATACTAAACTGCTACTTCTTACATATCCGTCAGAGTTCGAAGATCAAGGAAAGGTGACTAGAGTTCCAATCGTTGAAGAACGCGGAATTCTTCGTTGATCTACAGGAGATGAACGAATTCACAAAACCGAGGGTTGTTGCAGGAACGTATAATCCAGGAGAGCTTTGAAAATTGCAGCTGGGAGTTGGTGTAGGATCACAAAATCCAGGAGAGCCGTGAGAATTGCAGTCAGGAGGTCAGAAAGTACTAGTGATAGTAAAGTCTGGCGGACTATAAGTTTTAATTTGTTTATAGTGGATTGTTGACTGACAAAGTGCCCGAATTTTTTATCTAGTTGGGGTTTCTCCGTGATCATTTCTTGTGTTTGTTATTGCTTTCATATAATTACAGTATTTCAACATAGGAAATTGGATTGTTTGATTAATCATCTAGAAATAATTAATAGTGACTTGTTGCTAGTTAATTATTATGTTTTTAATTCCGCATAATCACCTATTAATCCCCCCTCACCCTCTCTAGATGTAGTTTGGGTCGAACTTCGTTATTTTGAAATCTCTTATGGATTATTTTCGAGATATATTTCTCTATTGCCGGGAAGGTATTTTATATTGTTTTGAAGAACTCATGACTATACAATGCATATTACAAAATGTAAAGCAGTTAAATAGTGCACTTAAAATAGCTAGGACAAGATGGCTACTTAAAATGGGTTTAACAGTTATATTTTAAAATATATTCTTAAATATGCAAATTTAAATGTAAGGCTCGCTCTTTTCGTTTCTCCCGTACTCGCAAGCACCCAATTTATTAATCCTGGTTCTCCCCATGGTCTTACTCGTAGCCACAGATATATGGCGA